ACAAACAAACAAACAAACAAGCAAACTAGCTGGGCATAGTGGCGTGTGCCTGTGGTTCCAGCTACTTGGAAGGCTGAGGCAGTAGGATCACCTGAGCCCAGCAGGTTGAGGCTGCGGTGGCCATGAGTGTGCCACTGCACTCCAGCCTGGGTGACAGAGTGAGACTCCAACTCAAAAAAAAAAAGAAAAAGAAAAGAAACGTCCAGAACAGGCAAATCCACAGAGACAGGTAGTAGACAGGAAGTAGCTCTCCCTGAGAGCTAGGGAGGAGGTGGGGAGGGACTGCTGATGGAACAGGGTCTCCTTCTGGGGGATGAGAATGTTCTGGAATTAGATGGAGGTGGTGGCTGCCCAGCACTGTGAATGTGCTGCCACTGAACTGCACCATTTACATATGCATTTCAGTCAGCTTCCTCAGGTTGAAGTCACATGCTGTAAAACGGTTACCACTCTGTGTTATGGGAACTGGACACAACCGCAGGGCAGGCGTTGTCGGTGTGCTGGCAGCCTGGCTTGTGACCTCAGCCCCAGTCTCACATGGGCTTTGCTGTCACGTGGGCTTCCTGCGGCATGTGTCCCCTCCTCTTCCTGTGAGGACACTAGTCCCTAGATTCAGGGCTGATCCCAAAGCCAAGATGACTCCGTCTTCAGGTCTTCAACTTAATTTCACCCTGAGGATCTTTCTTCCAAATGAGGTCACAGTCACGGTCCCAGGAGGCAGGACCTGGATGCAGGTGTCTGGGGGACACTATTCAATCCACCCTATCAGTGTCACATGAGATGGGAGTCACCTGTGTGTCCACAGCCGGTGTCTGTGCCCCAAGTCCACCTCTTCCAGGTCAAGGGACCCCAGACAAGCTCAGACCGGCCCATCCTGTGTGCTCACCTCCAACATGGCTGCTTCCTCCCAGCAGGAAGGCAGAGAAAGGGGTTGGGACGAATCTTGTCTGGGACTCAGTGAGCTGGGGCACAGGTGGGAGCCTGCCACGCACATCTCGTGCCCCGATAGCACAGACTCCACCTCCACTCGGCTGACCAGCCATGAGAGTACTGGGACCCCAGCCTTTCTATCATGAGGGCACCCTCGAGCACTTGAGCATGGGGTACGTCAAGACACCTCTAGGGCAGACTCAGAGAAGCCAGGGCCCCGTCGAGGGCCAATGAGGATGGGTGTGGGGAACACCAGCTGTGTGTTACCTGTGTCCCCCAGAGACACATGTCCATGTACTCCTCCCGTATCTGAGAATGTGACTGCATCTGGACAGAGGGTCCCCGTTGATGTCATTAGTCTAGTGACAACAAGCTGGGGCCTAAATCCAATGGCATGTCCTTAGGAGAGGAGAGAGAGAGTCACCCCAAGTGGGGGCAGCCACTTGAAGACAGAGGCAGAGAACGGGGGGATGCAGCCACGAGCCAAGAACGCAAGGAACACCAGGAGAGGGAAGAGGCAGGAAGGGTCCCCACTAGAACCCTCTGCAGGAATCAGTCCTGCTGATGCCTTGATAGAGTACACTTCTGGGGATTTTTGGCTTTGTTTTTTCAGACAGGGTCTCGATCTCTTGTGCTGGCTGGAGTGCAGTGGTGTGATCTCAGCTCACTGCAGCCTCTGACTCCCAAGCTCAAGCCAATCTCCTGCCTCCCAAGTAGCTGGGACTAAAGGCACTACCATGCACAGCTAAAATTCTTTTGGTATTTTTTGTTGAGATAATGTCACTATGTTGCCCAGGCTGATCTCAAACTCCTGGTCTCCTGTGACCCTCCTGCCTCAGTCTCCCAAAGTGCTAGGGTTATATGGGTGGGCCACTGTACTCAGCAAACTTCTACTCTGAGTCACCAAGTTTGTGATAATTTGTCACAACAGCCACAAGAAACTAAGGCAAGCCCGAGGCCCCACATACATGTGCAGGTAGGGCACACGGATAGAAGGAGAAAGAATTCCGAAGTCCTCAGTTCTCCACCTTGACTCCAACAGCTCTTGGGCACACTCAGCTTCTAGAAGGCACAAGCACACACCTCTATTTGTGGTTGGGGGAGCAAATCTTCTGCAGCTCAGTTTAAAATCTCATCACCCATTGAATGACGCAAACCACTAGCCAGGACCCCGACACCACATGGGGACTGCCACCCGAGTGGCCCCTCGTCCCAGGCAGGGAGCCCACCGCCACCCACACAGACACGTCCAGGTCTCCTGGAGCCTGTGCCACCTTGAAAACGTCGAGCCTGGCTTCTGGAAGCAAGATCCCAGATGTGGCAGAGAAGTCCGGCCTCGTTTGCGCCGGGTCAGCCCTGCCAGCCTCCAGGACTCTGGGTGTCGTGGGCCATCTGCTGGGAGCTGCCTCTGGCCAATGCAGAACAAATGACTTTTGAAAACGGTATCTGCCTGCTGACACAGGGCCTGCGTGGGGTCTGGGCTAAGCCCGCCTCTCTGAGCAGCTCCTTCCACGCTGCCTCCCCTCCTAAGACGGCAGGGGCCGCGGGAAGATAAGACAAAAGCAAGATGCCCTCATTACCACGGCACCAAAATAGCTTTATGCTCCATTTTTTACACATAGCTCAACTCTAGAGTTACATAATAACACTAAGAGTCAGTCTATGATCTGGAGGCCAGATCCTGGGCTCCCTCAGCCCACCTTGTACCCCAAGGGAGCCCTCCAAACTCCTCCAGGGCCTCGCTCCAGGCTCCCGAGTCTCCTGGCCAGGCCTGGCGCTCCAGGTCTTGGGGACTCAATGGGGCTGGCCCTCACCTGCCTCCTCGTCCTCATGTCACGTCTTGGATATATTCAGTCGTCCTGTGTACGCTCACCATGCAAGAAAAGGCCTGGACCAGGGGAAGGGTCCCTGGCCGGGGCTGCACCTACCAGAAAGAAAGCAAACTGGACCTTCTCTGGACGCAGCCTGCGTCATCTCGGACACCTGCACAACCTTCTCCCAGGTCTCCCTGCTCCCTCTGCAAGTTGCTCCCAGAGACACCTTCTTTTTCTTTTCTTTATTAATTCAGTTCAAGTCATGTACCTCCTATCTTAAACACATCAGTAGGTTTCCACTCTATTTAAAGTAAACCCCGACCCATTTGGTGGTTCCTCAACAGGTGAAATTCTGCATTGCCACATGACCCAGCAATTCTGCTCCCAAGTTGAGGCCCCCATGAAATGAAAGCCGTCCTCACTAACACTGTGTGACCATGGACAGTGGTCAAAAAGTCGGGAGAAACCAAGTGCCACCAACAGATGACGGTTAAACACAACGTGGCCCAGCCACACAAGCAGGACAACCCAGTCATCGAAAGGAGTGAGGCCTGGCACAGGCCACAATGTGTATGAACACATGACGCCAAGCAAGAGGAGTCAGACACAGCAGGACGCCGCATGTGTGACTCCATTGATATGAAGCATCCAGAACAGGCAAATCCAGAAAGACAGGAAGCAGATTCATGCCTGCCAGGGGCTGGGAGAGGGGGTTAGGGAGTGAATGCTGGTGGGATAGGGTCTCCTTTAGGGGGATGAGACTGTTCTAGAACTAGATAGAGGTGACAAAGCACAACACTGTGAATGTATTGAATGCCACAGAACTGCGCACTTTGAAATGGTGTATTTTATGTTATTATGGGGCATGCACCTCAATAATAATTAAATAAATGAAAGTTGCCCCGACTCTGGCCAGCCTGGCCAGGCCCTCACCTCCATCCCTCCCTGTCCCTGCCACAGGTCCTCTCCCTGCAGCCCAAGTCCCCGCCCCGGGGGTCTGCCTGCATCAGCCCCCCACAACACACACACACACACACACACACACGCGCCCAAGGCTGGAAACACCTGCTGCCTTGACCTGGAGATCACACCGAAGCCCCCTCTTCCAAGAGGCCCCTCCTGCACCCCTGCAACCTGCTCTGCTCCTGCCTGCCACTAGCCCACCTGGAACCCTCCTCTCGGAGCTATGTCCGCAGGCCCCAGCCCCACTGGCCCTGCGGATGGTTGGAGGGCCCTGCCTCAGCCCTGGTTGCCTCTGTGGGCCTCCGTGCCCACCTTGTGGGTCAGACACAGGTGGGAACACAGGCGCCTGCTGAGTGGGCATTGTGACCCTCGGTGAGGACCATGTTTGGGGGACTGCTCCACAGAGGAAAGATCAGCCCTGCAGGCAACATGGGTGGCAGCCCCAACCCAGCTCTGGGCCCATTACAAGGGCTCCCATCAGGCTCCGGGACTGTCCTCATCCTGAAGGCCACCACCCAGCAGAGAAAACAAGGAAACAGATCCAGACCTGGGTTCCCACATGCCCTGGTCCTCCAGACAGAAAGACCCTGAGAGAGGGTTCTGGAGGAAGCCCCCCCCCACCCCTGCTCCCAAGTAGGTCCCTCTCAGCCCCGCCTCGAGTGTATCACCGTTACTGCTCACCTGATGCTCCCTGACCTCATCTCCAGCCCGGCGCCCGCCCTACAGACATGGTAAGCATGCACACACTCACATAGCCACACACATGCACTCACATGCCTGTACATATGTGCTTGCTTACACTGTGCCACCAAACATAATCACACGTGCACAGACACACATATATGCACACGCACGCTTACACACCCACGTGTGCACTACTCACACTTGTGTGCATGAACATGTGTACTCACACATGCCCAAACTGAACCTGCCTGGGACCCCCCAGGCCTGCTCGCTCCCCTGCCCAGCCCCAGGCCCTTTCACCTCTTCTACCTCCACCTGGGCCCAGGTGCCCTCTCCTGGCTGCACAATGCAGACACTTCCTCTTGGGGCCCCCAAGTCAACACTGCAGATGGCCTCAGGCACTCCCCACCTGAGCAGGTTCCCTGGCTCCAGGAAAAATACCCCCACTCCACATTCTGCCCACCTCATCCTCTCCCTGCACCAGTGCATGCTGGGGCAAGCACAGGGCAGGTGGCATGGAGAGCCACGTTCCAGCCCCAGGGCCCCACCATGTATGGTGATCCTCAGGCCACGGGACCCCCAAGGGAGAGCTGTGGCTGCCGCACTCACCGCAGGACCTCCAGAGCCAGACACCAGGCGGGACGGCTGGGGGACAAAGGCCACCAGTGGGCCCGGGTGCCCTGGAGGCCGCCCCTCCCCCATGCCCTAGCACGGAGGCTGTTCCCAGCAGCCTCTCACCCCCGATGTCAAGCAACTATACCCGCGTCCAGGTTGGGACATGGGGTTGCCATGGGCAGTGCCAAACAGCAGCCACCTGCAAGTGAGGCAGAGAGGTGGGGAGTGGAGTCAAGGGGACATGGTAGTACTGAGTGGGGGCGGGGCTAGCACGCGCCCCTCAGCCTAGCTGGGACAGACCTCCAGACAGGCTGACTTAGAGCCCTGGCCTGAGGCCAACGCAAGTACTTTGCTCCAGGAACGAGAGCATGATACCACATGCTGGGGGAAGGGGGTATGCCCAGGGGGCTGCAAGGGAAGCCGTATCCCCTTACTGGGCACAGATCATTCACACGTGACTTACCTTCTGCTGTGGGACACACCCCAAAAAAGGCACGTCCAAGTCTGACTCCAACACCTGCAATGGGACCCCAGTTTGGAAATAAAGTCTTTGCAGCTCTAATTGAGTTAAGGTCATAACAGAGGAGGGTGGGCCCCATCCAATGGTGGTGTCCTTATAAGATAAGGACAGACACAGAGACGGTCACGTGAAGACAGAGTAGGGACTGGAGTGAGCTAACCACAAGCCAGGGAAGGCAGGAGTCCCCAGAAGCTGGAGGAGAAGATGGAGACCCTCCTCTAGAGGCCCTGTAGGAAGCCAACCCTGCCAACACTTGGACTTCAGACTTCCAAACTCCAGAACTGTGAGGACATATGCTTCTGGTTCTTAGGCCACCAGGTGTGTGGTCATTTGTCAACGCAGCCCCAGGGGACAAATGAACACAGGGCTTGAACGGCTCTGAACAGGCACAGAGACCTCCCAGGGCTCAAGCGGCACTGTGGCCTCAGGGCCCAGTGGGAATGGAGAGGCCATGGGGAGGAGGGAGGGCACAGGAGGGGCAGGCCCTGTGCTCAGGGGCGGGCAGCAGGATGTAGCAGGAAGGGTGGGTCCCTGAGGTCATCACTGGCCTTCTGGAGATGGGAAAGACGCCACAAGCCCTCACTTGCTGTCCAGAAACGAGAACACTCTGGAGAGATGTCTGGTGAGCAAAGCTCAAGCCAGCTGCGACGGGAGGCTGCCTATGACTATTTAAGGAGTGTAAGTTTTACTGCAAAAGTGATACCAGGCCGGCATGGTGGCTCCCCCCTATAATCCCAGCACTTTAGGAGGCTGAGGCAGGAGGATCCCTTGAGTGCTCAAGACAAGCCTGGGCAACATAGCAAGACCTTGTTTCTACAAAAAAATCACCCAGGTGTGGTGGTACGCGTCTATCATCCTAGATACTCTGGGGGCTGAGGCAGAAGGATTGTCTGAGCCCAGGAGGTCAAGGCTGTAGTAAGCCATGATCGTGTCACTGCATTCCAGCCTGAGTGACAGAGAGAGACCCTGACTCAAAAAAAAATAGCACCAGGCAAATGGAGGGAGGCCACACAGGCCACTGGGGACACTGCTTCATGTCCACAGGTGTACCACGGGGGCTTCCTGCAAACAGAGGTATTCTGACTCCTGGGGTGCCTGACCCTGGCTTTGATATGGTGCCATGGACCATGTCCCTGGGTGTGCATGGTTCCCAGCATCATGCATATCCTAGAGACAGTGTAGGGTTGTGTGGAACCTAGTGCGCTCCCTTCCTGCCCCGCTGCTTTCAGGCAGACCTGGGTGCTGAGGGAGGAGGTGACAACTGCCCCTGGGAGGCATGTGGTTGCTTAATCAGCAAGGGTATCCACACTCAGAGGCCCTACCAACACAGCCCCGCCCGCCAGGACAGGAAGCAGGTCACCCCCAGACACAGCAGGGGCATCCAGGCGCACCTTCCACTGACTGAGTCCTCATACCAGCCCTTCTGCGTACTACAGCCTTGACCTCCTGGGCTCAGACAATCCTTCTGCGTGGCCTCTGGGGACATTAGCTCCTCTGGTAGAGCAGAAAGGGGCTCTGGGTCTGGGCATATTACTCAGCACCCTGGCCTTCGTGTCTTCACTACAAATGGAATATTCCAAGTAGACAAGAACGGTAATCTAGCTAGCACAAGCCTCCCAGACCCTGAGCTGACACCAGCTGGCAGGGCTGCTCCTCTGCGGGGCCACCAGGAAACACCACAACCCTCCGTGACGTGAGGCCATCACAGGCCAACACACTCAGAGGGAGGGGAGTGGGGAAGGAGAGGGAAGTGAGTGGGGTGTGCAGGGCCTCAGCACCCACAGCAGGGTGCAGCGGAGAGCATGGAAGAGAGTTTACAACGCCAGTCAGCTCTCAGCTAAACACAGAGCTGCAGCCAAACCCAGCAATTCCGCTCCTAGGGACAGACCCAAGAGAACCGAAAACATGCGCACACGAGTGTCCACAGCAGCTGTATTCAGAGCTAGCAAAAGGCAGCCACAACCCAAGTATCCATGGGCAGACGGAGGACAACCAGAACATGATCCCCCTACACATGGAGGACGACTCAGGCACAGAAAGGAGAGAGGCACTGACACAGGTCATGACATGGACGAACCTCGGACACACAACGTGGAGGGAGGGAAGCCAGACACAGCAGGCCATGTCGTGTGTGACTCCATTGATAGTGATGTCCAGAACAGGCAAATCCACAGAGACAAGAGGCAGATTCATGGCCGTCAGGGGCTGGGGAGAGGATGGGGAGTGACTGCTGATGGGACGGAATCTCCTTTTCGGGAGATGGAATGTTCTTGAACTAGATAGAGGTGGTGGTTGCACAAGACTGTGAATGTGCTAAATGGCACTAAATTGTACGTTTTTGAAAGGCTACATTTATATTACATCTATTTTACCTCAGTTTAAGAAAAGGAGAAATAAAAAGCATTCCCAAGGTTCTGGCAGTGTGGGGGTAACAGAGGGGCCTACCCTGGCACCCTCTAACTAGAAAGCCACCATGGCCACATGTGTACAAGAAAGAGGAACATCGCCAGCCAAGCCAAGACCCTCAGCCCTAGCACACCCCTCACAAAGCAGCAGAGACGAACAGGACACCCCAAACCCACCAGGACAGGCGTGGCTGCCCATCTAATGCAGGCCAGAGGCCCTCAGGGACAGGTCCACATCAGATCCGTGACCTGGCACGCAGGAGCACGGCGGCTGCAGCTGTGGCCTTCCTGAGGTCTAAGGAGCACTTCAAAAAAAATGCAGACTGGTGGCCAACTTCTAAATTTTTTCAAAATTAACTTAAACATCAGAATTACTTGGCTTTCCCTGCTTGGCCTGAAGTGCCAACAACCCATGGCCCGGGCTCCTGGCTGGTGATGTGTCACCCAGCCCCCAGATGGCGTTGTGTCACCCAGGCCCCCAAGGAGTGGCAGTGCAGCACTGGCCCCCCTGTGCCCATGTCTGAGGTGGTCCTGGGCACCCCTCACATCCCCACTACACCTCACTCCAGTTCTGCAGCTGTGTGACCTGACCTGAGGCCTGGGGAGAGGACCCCTCCACAAGAAGTCCCCCCAGGGGACAGTGCAGAGCTGGGATGTTGCACAAGGGCCACGCAAAGCCCAGAACGCAGGTCTCACCCTGAGCCAAACCCCAAGGAATACCGCTGAACTGGCCAGCAGTTAGCCACTAGCACGTGGCCAGGGTGAACACCCTCGCCTGCAGAGCCCTGGGAGGGACACTGTAGGGTGGGATGGGGGGATAGGGTGGTTCACAGCCTGGCCTGGGCACAGGCTTTCTCAAGAGTCAGGGGTACATGGGGTGTGACCTTCAACACATGCCGACCCAGAGCCCCCACGGGAGGAACAGGAGCTCCTGCCTGCTCCTGTCTCCTCTGCCGCCCTCCCTGCAGAACATCCTGCATGTCCTGTCCAGCCGGCAGGACTGGTCCCCTCCAGGAAGGACTTGCTGGCTAGGCAGTACCCCCAGCAGGACTGGAGGCCTGGGTGCGTGTGAGGTACTGGGAGCCTGCTGCAGGGGAAGCCAGTCCTCATTGGCCAGGACGAGCCCCATGGCTCCACTGGGGGCAGGATGGACAGGCTGAGACTTCATGGCCTCATAGCAAATATGCCTACATCAACAACAAGGAATTTCCCCCCATACAGCAATAAAAATAAAATACCCTGGCCATTCCTTAATGGTCCTCAATGCCCATATCAGTAGGTCCCTCCTACACCAAACCCAGCCCTTGTCATGAGGCAGGAGCCTGGGAGAAACCTCTCCAGCCTGTGGAGTGAGGGACAAGATGAGGGGGCAGGGACAAGACACTGGGCAGGCAGAGGAAGGCAGCTGGGGAGCGAGTGAGTGGGCGGGGCCTTGCAGAAAACAAGCAGGAAATGGGGGCATGGGGAGCAGATGGCCAAGGAGGTGACACTGGAAGAGCACTCCAGACAAGGGGTGCAGGGAGTGCAAAGGCCCTGGGATCACAGGGGGACCACGACAGTGACTGACCAGGGAGGCTGAGGTGAGCAAGGAGAGGGGGCTGGGAGCTCAGAGCTAAGCCTCATGGGATCCCCACCTGAGTGCAGCCAGAAGCTACCGGCAAGACTTAACCTGGTGTACCTAGAGCTGTCTTCACAGAGTCCCTGTGCTGGGTGTAGGCAGGATTGAGGGGCCCGGGTGAGGCAGGCAATGCAGGAGCGGCGGCCCCTCCGTGGCAAGGGGACATAGGGCAGGTGTGTCCCAGGCCTCAGCCCTCTAAGGCCTTGGGTTCTAACTGGAGGAAGAGACCCCTGACCCTGGCACATTCCAGGTTGGGGCCCAGCAACATCTGGACATGTGAATGAGCTCACAGATACCTGTCACAGGGACTCAGATTGAACTCCAGGTGCACAGCCACCAGAGGGCCAAGGAGGGCTATCCACTGACCACCAGCTCGCCCGACTCCTGCCCACAGCCTCACCTGGACCCAGCCCAGACAGGTCCAGCTCCCCCTCTGCCCCTGAAGACCCTGACCACCGCTCTCCCAGTGCTTCCCTCCTTCATGCCCAGGCTCCACATGCAGCCACTCTCACCAGAGCTGCCCCCACCTCCCCTCACACCGCCC